CCCCCTAAAATTCTTATAATACACTTCAATTTCTTCTTTTATTTATTTGGATTTTGTTCTATTTAATTGATGAAATAGAATTGGATGTTAGACGGCGTTAAAAAAATTAAAAGAAACTGGAAAAAAATTTGGAAGATGTGTATTGTATTTCGAGATCATGCTAAGAGTACACTAAAACGGTGTACCTCATTTGATACAAGCCAAATTCAGACACTTCGTGTCTAAGATCCACAGACACGAGGTGTATATGTATGCCTTGTGTACAAATGAGATACACCATTTTGGTGTACTCCTAACTTTATGGTTGTAATTCTTTTTCCTAAATAAGTTGTGTTAAGGGTATGCCAAATAGTATATTCCATCTTGACACCAACAGTAGAAAGAATATTTTTATTGAATAATTGTGTAGAGAATACATCAATATATACTAGATGTCTCAATCCTAATCATGGTAGGAGAGACATAATAGGAAATATATACAACTATGATAACATAATAATTACAAGAATAATAAATATAATTAATATATTAAGCATGCTCCCGGCTACGTCGGATGTGGAGGAGGCCTGATTCCCATACTGGATTTGAACTCGAGGAAGAGCAGGGACGGCAGTCCTTTGGTGAAGATGTCAACATACTAGGAAGAGGAGGGTACATGAAGGACCGAGTGCGACTTTGTCGCGGACAAAATGTATGTCGACCTCCACGTGTTTGGTGTGCTGGTGCTATACTGGATTGGATGATAGGTAGACGGCGCTGATGTTGTCGCAGAAGACAAGGGTGGCACGTCGTAGTGGCTGTTGAAGCTCAAGGAGAAGGTTTCGGATCCACGAAGTCTCTGCGACGGCATTGGCCACAGCCTGGTACTCAGCCTCTGCACTGGATCGTGAAGTGGTGGCCTAGCGCTTGGACGACCAGGAGACCAAGTTGTCGCCTAGGAAGACACAGTAACCAGAGGCTAGGTTAGTTTAAGTCAAAAACTTATGTACCGATTGCGTAATAACTAATAAGACACTTGGTTTAAACCACGTTAAAAGATATATCGATTAGTTAGTTTAACTCAAAAATTTATGTACCGATTATTTTTACATTTGGACTTTCGACATGGGATGCACTCTAACAGTTTTTTGAATTTTTTTGCTAATTAACTAAAAAATGAAAGTTCTTTGCCCCGGTGTATATACATATATTAAAGAATGTATGATTATCTAATATTATTTCAAAAATTAATTATATGTACGTATGTTGTTTGTTGATTTTTTTTGCTAATTTTATGTACGTATGTTGTTCTTAAAAGTGTGTTTTTAATGTTGTCCCATAAAGCAGTTTTTGTAAATAGTCATTTAAGAAAACACTATAAAAAAATTGTATAATAACACTGAAAAGTTGTTCTAAAAAAATTTCACTATAAACTAATTTTCGTATGTAATTATGCTTGGATGTTTTATCGATTAAGAATTTTATTATGATCGTAATGGTATTGTTGTGGAATATAGGTTTAAAATTTTATTATTTGGATGCATGGTTAAGATTTTCATTATTTGTTCCACGTTAGTTAAATAAATATTTTGCAATTTTTAAAATAAAATCGTGGGTGCAAAATGCATCCGTGTAATTTCTTTAAAACAATTGAAATTTGCCTCACGGCACAAGGCCGTGACAAAATATTGTTTAGTTTGAGCAATGTCAGGGCGTGTAACACTGTAACAAAATAATGCATGTGGTGAAGCTTGGAAGGTTTCTTGCCACTAAACTTGGCACAACCAAATTGTTGCATAAACTATGAGCAAAAACACATTGTCAAACGCACCAAATTAAGGACTAAATTAAGGAGTAACATTTTGTCGAAGTAGAAATTCAAAAGCAGGTTTGTAACGCAATCCCAAACACTTTCTAAATAGACCATCGCGCCACTTTTCCCCGTTGTCTAGGGCGAAGCGGGCTGATGTGGCGCTTCGGGCGGCCCACGTGGTGTTGTTTCATCACCGGACAAGGTTGCTCGGGTCTGGTTTAGATGATCATCATCACCGGGCCTGATTGGCGGGTCCGCGTCGAAGTCCGGTACAAAAGGTGACTCCGGCACCGCCGTGGGATCGGTGGGAGTGGTTATCGGCGGTGTTATTATCGGCGGCGCTGACTTAAATGCGTCCTTGTGCTGGCCTCTATGTAGGACTGGGAAAATTTTGGGTCGGCGAGATATTACCGACATGGATGAAATTCTAAGCATTTTTTCCGATTTGTCGAACACTCTTTAAACGACTCCGGCCGGGTTACAATTCCCTACAACATAACTGCCTATATAAAGCATCATAATAAATGTCATTTTCTTGTCGAAATAAAGTTTGCGTTTTTTTACAGATATGATTATTTTAGATTGTAGAGTGCACGTGGCAGGGTTTGAGACGAGACATCATAGGTTGTTGCTGAATATGCAAATGATCAACAAGTGGTCGCCATGCATGCATGCCCACGCAGGTATGATCCTTCAATTCATAAATAGTTTCATATATGCACATGTACAGGCCGCACAAAATAAACTATTAGTTTCATATATATAAACTATGAATAAGTACTCAAAATGAGTCTTTCAAATTAAGAGTCTGTTCTTTTAAACTAGAAAAAAGAGATGGATATTGGAAGAAAATGGAAAAAACTGGAAAGAATTTGAAGAAACTAGACGGAACTAAAAGAAACTACAAGGAACTAGAAAAACTGAAGGAAACTTGAATGAAGTGGAAAAAACTAAAAGGAACTAGAAAAAACTAAAAAAAACTTAGAGAACTCGAAGAAACTGGAAAAAACAGGAAGGAACTCGAAGAAACCAGAAAAACTTCAAAAAATTGGAAAACCTAAAAAAAATTTAAAAACATTTATTTTATATTATTGTTGTTATAAATTATTATTATTATTATTATTATTATTATATTATTATTATTATTATTATTATCATTATCGTCGTCATCATCATCATAATTATCATCACGTTATCTTAATGAATGTCTTTGAGATACAGAAAAAAGTATTGTTATTTTTCAAATATAAAAAACTACTTTTGCAAAAAATAATTATAATATAAAGCTAGCATAAATATAAAATATTAAATTTTAAAAAGTTTATATGGTTACGTTGCACCTCAATTTATTTATGCAGTATTTATTATTAATAATATATTTGTAATTATACTTTATATATTACAATATTTTGTTTTAAATATCAGACATGTCACATAATGTAATCAAACCTATTTTTTCTTTCATGATAGACATTTTATTTTCATTGAAGTCCTATTTTTGGAATAAAGACATAACTTTTTTTACATTTTTTATGTTTTAGTCTTATTTTAGCCTTTTTCTATGTTCACTATTTTATCCATAATTTTTTTTAATATAGTTTAATATATTGATGTTTTCATGTTTTATCATGTATATTAATATACAAAAATTGTCTTATTAATATTAAAAAGTTGAAGAAAAAAATATGAGTGTGAATCTGTAACACCCCGACCCCCACCCGGGCGTAAGCCTCTACTCATAGGACTATAGACTGGCCCCACAAATAAACACAAGTTTTTCACGCGCACTTTATCCTCACTCGTGAGTGTCATCACATACTCGTGAGTGCCCAAGGAATTTACCCATCCTAAAATTACTTTAGGTCAAGCACACTTAACTTTGAAGTTTCCAGGTGATGAGCTCTCAAAAAGAAGATGCACCTTGTTGATATGAATAGTATTATCAATACTTTTGAGTCTCTTTCTTTCCCAACTTAATATGGGGTATTACATTAACCCCACATAAGAATGCAACGTCCTTGTTGCATCCTTTCTTTTTGTCAAATCCATAGATCTTCCCCGCTAGGTGAACTAAGCTCTCTTAGTCTAACACGGTCGCACCTCGCCCCCCAACCTGGCCGTAAGTTTTCGCTCAAAGGATTGTAGACTGGCCCACAAACAACCACAAGTCTTTCCCGCGCACTTTGTAGTTGGTTCAAGAGTAGAAAGAGTTGGGAAAAAATGAGAATAGTGGGAAGAAACTGGAAGGAACTCGAAAAAACTGGAAAGAAATGGAAGAAACTAGAGGGAACTGTAAGTTAAGAGTTCAAGCCCTAAAGAACAGGCTCTAAGTGTGTGGCTTCATGAAGAACGAATCACCACGAGCAGGCTCATGAACTCAATTCTGCGAAAACACTGACTTAGAAAATATGTGTTTGGAAAAATATTTAATTATAAAGGAACACTTCAATAACATACTGTAAGTTTGGATGATAAAGAAATACCAAAATAACCTCTATTTGACTAGCATTTAATGGACATTTTTTTTGTAGAGGACTATTTAGGAAATAAATCTCAATTACAAAAGAACATGTTGGTAATTATTGCTTATTGAAAATTAATTTGAGATAACACCTTATTAGAAAGAATCGTTTTAGAAATTCACTCGTGAATAGATTTTGATTTATATCAAAAGCTTCAAATATAATGCTTGAGTTTAGAGTTGTAGATATTTTTTATATGCAACTTATTCTTGGTGAGATAGAAATGTGTTAAAGTAAAACTTTATCAATATTTTTAAGCTTGACGAACAAACGAAACTATAAACTTCATTTTTAACGTATGAGATTACTCATAAAATATTTTTACATTAACATTATTTCTTTAAACACAAACAACGAATATAAAAACTAAAAATGAAGTTTAATCATGACAGAACGTCAAAAAACAAGTTAAAATAGTTCGAGAAAAAACCCGTTTTTTATGTCTAAAATCAGACCGAACCAGGAAAACGGGTCCAACTTTGGATAGGTGTCCAATCTTGCCCCTAGCGTGGCTCTTGGAAAAATGGCAACTCATTGGATATAGTTGGATTAGACTGCATCTTAAAACATGCCGCGGCCCAAGCTGCTCAATTCTCAACTTTTCTACTACGAGGCCGCCGCAACTAGGGTTTACGAACCTATCTCCTCCCCCACTATATAACCACGCATAATCCTTCGCAAACTCATTCTTCATCCTTCCAATTGCCCTCCCATCTTCACGTTCTGCACTGTAATGTAAATTATTTTCCTTTGTTTAGTTTCTATAGAGATGCCTAACATTGCAATTCCTTTGATCGGAATCCGAATCTGAATCCGAAGCGATGGGTCGAGGGATCTATCATTAGGCGATACCAATCCCATAAGCATATTTGTATTTTACTTTCATGTACATATGCGTCTCCCTTCTTAGTCTGGATCTTTCCTCTTTCGGAGATTTTTCGGCGAGAAGGAAGATACACTTTATTGTGAATTTGTATATTTTTTTAATTTTTGTGTGATTTTTTTTGGAGATCTGAATTTTGATTTGTGGAGGATGATGAGAAAATCAGACGGATTCCCTGTGAGGTTATACAGTGATCACTCAATCAGCTACTTCTGACTCCTTTTACTTGTGTATGTTATTTATTATATATATTTTTGATTTGGAAGAATTTGAATGGGATCAATGGAGGCCTGTGATGTTATAAGTATTTGCTACTCTTGATGGGAAATCCTATCTGATGATATCTTACCACCAAGATCTCTGAGGCCTTCAGTATTGTGATTATCTTTAAGTTTTTCTTGAGCTTGGTCATTGGATATATACATTCTTTTGAATCTTTTACAATTTCAAGAATTCTGAGTGAAAGTAAATTGGAGATTGGAATTTGAATTCTAGATTACGATTCCTCCATTAATTATATGAATGAAATACAGTAATTAAATGTAATTTACTTTCATGAGAGTTGATATTATAATTAAGAGTTGGAGAGGACTCACAGAAGACCATGGTCAGTACACACAGGAGACCATTGTTTCTGTAGGACAAACTTGCGGCTGGATGATTGGTCAATTGTTTCTGCATTCGTTGTCGTTCCCAGGTTGCCATTGCATTACTGTATCCTCTGCGTTTGCCTTTGCGAGCAGTGCTCCTCTGAAAATTGGATTTTGGGATTCTATGGCGGTGTTTAACCTGCTGCTGCTGAACTTAGGTGGTGCTGGATTCGGTTTACTTTAAATATAATGTGATTAATTTTTTTTAAAAAAGTAAATACTTCGTCCGTTCCAAATTAGAGAGTAATAAATATTAAAAATTTCACCATTCTAAATACGGAGTATATGAAAAGTTTTTGTGAGCTCAGAATAGTACTTTGTTATATTGTTTTTGAATATTTTCCGCTAAACATATTTATCGTTTTACTAATAGACCTCTCCATCATAGGCATGGAGGAAGAATTGAACTTCCAAGCTTTTAGTTAGGTGGTTGGTTTGTATATTTATCAAATATCTAATGAAAATAAGTAAAAATGTGGTTAAAGTTTGACCGAGTGAAAAGTAAGTGACTTAAATTCTTACTTTTTTCAAAATTTTTTCACATTAAATTTGTAATTGTAGCATTAGACATTAATAAAAAAGCAAAAGGCAGTTAGAGAATGGCCGAAGGGATGCACCATTAATTAGATAATTGTACACTAATTACTTCAAATAAAATGTATGTTCAGATATTTATCCTGAATATTTAAATTGTGAGTTTGTATCTTTTTTCCTTAATTTCTTATGTAAAGTTATACCTACAATCGGTTTTCTGAATAAAATGTTTAAATAGTTCACATTGTTTAAAAAAAGTCGTTATTTGTTTTGGATCCATTCCCAAGCCTAACGGGTACCCTAAAGCCCTTTTGAATGTTGGATTGGTGTCAAAGATCATTTTCTTATTATATTGAGTAAAAGAATTTTTTAAATACTCCTGTTCTGTAATGTTCTCCCACTTTACATGGTTAAACATTAATTACTTTTTTTTATCTATGTAATTAGATATTTGATAAAATAATATAATTTTGTCTTCACTTGTTCTGTAGAATTTTTGATGTATTTTTTAAATATATAAATTTTAATTTTTAATTGAATTAAATATAAAATGGGTAAAACTTTGTAAATAGAATCAGAAAGAACATTATAGGATGGATAGCATTTTTTATATTTATTAAAATGATGTCTTAAGAATGGTGTCAAAGATCATTTTCCTTTTATACTTTCTCTGTTTCTATTTATTTGTTATACTTGTATTCTCAATGTAAAATATCAAACTTTTTAATTTATTTTATTTAGATATTAGTATAGAAATAAAAAATAAAATTTACATATTAAAAAATTATATGAAAAGTTTTTTAAAATAAGAGATGTCAAGAATATTTTATTTTAATAAATAACTCATGAAAACGTAAAAATAAATAAAAGTTCTCGCGATTGTACAAAAAACAAATCTTGTAAATATTTTGGGACGGAAGAAGTATGTAAGATATGAATGTTGACTTGTGATCGACATTGGTTTTAGAAACATCTTGTCCTTATATCTGTATAGAGAACTTTTGTAGTATTATTATTGATCTTTAAATCTAGGAAAATGCTAGGGGTACACCTGGGTGTACCCCATTTGTCCCCCACCCCCTTCATTACCACTCAATCAGACAAGAAAATTAAAAAAAATAAGTAAATAAAAATCAAAAATAAATGAGTGGTTATTGAAGGGGTGGTGTACAAATGGGGTACACCTTTGGTGTACCCCTAGCATGACCCTTAAATCTATTGTAAAGATCAATGCACAAGAAGAGTGTCTTATTCGGTTCCGGTTTGAGCCGGTCCGGTCTAGGTTTGAACCAATGCACACCCATATATAATGAAATAGATGTATATGCAGATGAGATTAAAAACGGATTAAATGTATTGGGATTGCGAAATCCGTATTGGTTTACCAATTGAATATTTTTAATTGGATATAGATAATAACCGTTTTAAACGGATGCATGTATTTTTCCGTATAAGCGGGTATTGATACGCATGGTAATTGAATTTTTAGTTATTCATTTATAGTCCTAGGGAATAACTATTAAAAAAAATTCATTTTTTATAAGAATGAACAGAGTGATCATTTTTATTACCAGCAAAAAACTAAAGTATGAATAAAATATTGAAAATATACTAAAATAGGAGTTTATATTTTTATTTCTAAGGTAGGAGTTAAAATGCATTTCTAGTGCAATTATGACCATATACATAGCAAAACATATTGTGAAATATCCATATAAAATACTTCCTCCGTCTTATAATGATCTTCCCGGTTCGCAAAACGAAGAAAAATCCCAAGTTTTTTCAATCTATTTTATTTAAATATTGGTATAGAAATAAAAAATAAAACATATATATTTAAAAAACTATATCAAAAGTTCAACAAAACAAGTGGTAACAAGAATATTTTATTTTATCATATATGCCATGAAAAAACACAAATAAATATAAATTCTCGTGAAGTTGGAATAGTGCTCTGGAAAGATCATTATAGGACGGAGGGAGTATCAAATTACTACAGTGTGAGTTTCTATTTTGAGAATAAAATATTGAGATCTTATTTTATTTTAGAGTAAGTTTCTTAAAAGATCTCCAGTTATATGTCATTTTACATATTTAGTCCTTACATATCAAGTATTACGGAGTACTACTTTAGTCCTCAATTATTATATTCATTTCTACGAATGATCTTTTGTTAACATTTCCGTTAAGAATGTAGATAAAATTGTAAATTAATACTTCTTTTTCTCCTCAATTAAACTTTCTCCCCTAGACTTTTTTCTCAAACCCGTTGCTGAGTTTGAAACTTTGAACCCAAAATCGAAATCGTCACTTTTCTCTCAATTGTTTGTTTAACTGGTGGAATCGAAATTCAAAACTAGTAACCTTCATGGATGAGTTTTAATGTTTATTTTTTTGCATTTTTTTGAGACTAATCGATAAAACTCAACCATAAAGCTTATTGGTTTTAATTTTAGGTTCCACCAGGAAGATTAATAATTGAGAGATGAATGATGATTTCAGTTTTGAGTTTAAAGCTTCAAACTCAACGACGAGTTTGAGAAAGAGTACGAGAGGAGGAGGAATCTTAATTGAAGAGAGAGAGAGAGAAGTAAAAATTTATAATTTTATCCATGTTTTTAACAGAAATGTTAACAAAGGACCATTCGTAAAAAATGATATAATCATTGGGGACTAAATTAGTAATATTTGATATGTAGGGAATAAATATGTAAAACGGCCTATAACTAAGATCTTTTATGAAATTACTCTTTATTTTATCTATGTTTACATCTATTTAGAATGATTTCTTATTAATCATCTCTCGTTTACAGAGAGTGTTAATCATAGTAAAAAAATACTTTCTATGTCCCATTTTATTTGATTGGTTTTGGTTTACGATTTTTCATGAAAGTTATTTTTTCATTAAAATACTCCGTAAGATAATTGAAGTGAAATTAAAAAAATAATACTCGTATATATTTAAAAATTAAATTAGAAATTATACAAAATAAGTGATGACATGAGCAACCAAAAATAGGTAAAAAAGAATATGGTTTAACTCTATAAATAGTATTGAAAGATTTAAAGGAGTACATTTTATGGTAGTAGAGTATCTGTCGGTGGGTCAACCTCTGTCCTAGAATGAAAGCCATAATTTTTTGTTCACTAATCATAACCATGCAATGAAAGCCATACTGAGAAGCAATCCACATGATAAATCACGCAGAAAACTGTGTTCTTTTGCAAACTCTGTTCTTGAATCAACTATACGAGCTGAAGAAGCAGAAGGCCCTGTTTGGGTGAGGACGAAAGAATCCAAATTAGCAACTTTACACTGCCTCGTTCAACAATGTGCGAGAGAGAGGGATAACAGAGGAGGGAGATCTTGCCACGCCATGAGCGTCAAGCTCGGCTTCGAAGCTGACATTCTTACTTCAAACATGTTCATCAATTTTTACAGCAGGTGCGGTCTCACTGAGAGCTCTCGCAAGGTGTTTGATGAAATGCCTCAGAGAAGCCTCGTTTCTTGGAACACCCTCATTGGTTCATATACCCGGAACCAGGACGAGGAAGGGGCTCTTAAGCTGTATGTGGAGATGCAGAGGGAGGGGATACAGTTCAGTGAGTTTACTGTCTCTGGTGTCCTTTGCGCATGTGCCGCTAAATTTGCTGTGTTCGAGTGTAAGCAGTTGCATGCTTTTGTGGTCAAGGTGTCCATGGAATTGAATGTGTATGTGGGCACTGCATTGATTGATGTCTATGGAAAGAGTGGTATGACCGAAGATGCTTCTTGCATTTTCAATAGCATGACCGAAAGAAATGAAGTCACTTGGACGACAATGATGACAGGGTATGTACAAAATGCGCTGTATGAGGAGGCATTGTTGTTGTTCCACAAAGCCCAACAATCTGGACTGGAACATGACAAGTTCATTGTTTCTTCAGTTCTTTCGGCTTGCTCAACACTGTCTGCTTTCATAGAAGGGACCCAAGTTCATGCCATAGTCTGGAAATTGGGGTTTGGTGCCAATGCCTTTGTGGCTTCTTCACTTATAGACTTATATGCCAAGTGTGGGAACCTTCAAGATGCTTATATAGTATTTTCAAATGCTGATGATAAGAACATTGTGATTTGGAACACAATGATCACGGGCCTTGCGAAGCACGCGAGGCCCTTGGAGGCCATGATATTGTTTGAGAAAATGCAACAATTTGGTATTCACCCAAGTGATGCCACATACGCGTCCGTGCTATCCGCGTGTGGCCACATGGGCTTGGTTGAAGAGGGCAAGAAATATTTCAAAATGATGTCGAAAGAACATAACTTGTCCCCAAATATCCGCCATTATTCTTGCATGGTCGACGTGCTTGGCAGGGCAGGACTGATTGAGGAAGCTAAGGATTTGATAGAGACAATGCCATTTGAAGCCAATGCTTCTGTGTTAGGGTCACTTTTGGCATCTTGCAAGGTCCATGGGAATGTAGAGGTGGCTGAGGCTGCTGCTAAACAACTGTTTGAGATCGAACCTAATAATGCTGGAAACTATGTTCTGCTCTCAGACATTTATGCAGCCAAGAAGAGATGGGGTGATGTTGCATCAACAAGAAAGCTTCTGAAAGACAGTGAAGTAAAGAAGGTAAGAGGGAGGAGTTGGATTGAAATCAAAGGCAAAGTTCACGCCTTCATGGCAGGGGAAAGAGGGCATCCTAGGATTGAGGAGATTTATTCCAAGCTGGAGAAACTGGCAGAGGAGGCGGAGAAGGCAGGGTACGAGGGGGAGACAGAACACGACTTTCACGATGTGGGAGAGACCAGAAAGAAACAACTGCTGAAACACCACAGCGAGAAACTTGCTCTTACATTTGGCTTAATGTCTCTGCCAAGTGGTTTGGCTATAAGAATAATGAAGAACCTCAGAATATGTGGGGACTGCCATTCTTTTATGAAATTTGCTTCTAAAGTAATTGGGAGGGTCATCGTCGTTAGAGACTATAATCGGTTTCACCATTTCAAGGACGGATCTTGTTCCTGTGGAGAATTTTGGTGATCTAATGTTCAATCCATCTGCTACAAAAAAAAGAAAAAGAAAAAGAAAGAGGAATCATTTCTATTTAACCACTCTTCAAGTATATACCAGTTTAGCTCCCCTCTAGCTTCAGTTGATATATGATCATCACCAGTACTACTTTCCAAGGCTATGTAATAGGGACACTATGCTAATGTAGATTTTTTTTAAATGTGAGTTTCTTTAAAGATATGAAGGGAAATCGAATCCTTTATCCTTTATATATAATATTTGAGAGTTGAACTCTCAGAATTGCGACATTTGGCGTGTTGTCTGGATCTTTTTTTGACACTTCATCAGCCACGTCATCAAAATCAACTTCCTCAATATTCCAAACGGGTTGGGCTTCTAGAATTGTGACATGTGGCGTGCTTATTAGACAACTTTTTTAACATATCAGCATGTCATGTTAGCAAGTAATGTTTAAAAAATAGTTAACAAAAAAACTTATTATGCGGAAATTAATTTTCATATTTGTTACACATAAATTTCTCCATATAATCGCGTTTAAAAACTTTTATATTTTCATTCATTATTGGAAAATATTTAAATTAAATAGTATAGTTTGAAATTTGAAAAAACCACCTATTCAAAAACTATAATCAAAACAAATAAATTTACTTTA